CGAATAATATATAAACATTTATATTTACTAGACTTCTATGAAAAACGATTATCAAATTTCGAAAAATATTCAGTATATAAAACTTATCTACTTACATTAAATATATACATTCTATTTTGTTAGTTGTATTAATATTTTTTACTTATATTAAAACGTATTTACTCATGTTCCTATTCCTGTTATATCTACTTTTTGATAGAAGACAAATTAATATTAAAATTACTTACATTTATTAGATGAAATAGTACAATATTCAGTTGACTATATTTTAAACTGTTATGACGAAAAAAAATAATTTTATCTAACCGTGTGATTCACTATGTGTTTATTTGCTAACAAAAAAAAAGGCAAAGGTAGAAAAGATAACTTCAGATAAATATTTGATATCTTTTTTTTATCGCATAATTAATAGTAGATTCGGAACTAACTCGTACTTTTTATGCAAGGACTTTGTTTTTATCATAAATCAAATTTAATGACGTCAGACTCATATGGAAATGTTATTACCTGCGTGTAAAATCATAATTTTTCGAAGCATCTCAGTATAATGTTAAATTTGCTGATTAGTTCATCTACGTACAGAAAAATAAGATACAATGGATTACTCTGGATGAATGTTCATGGAGAATTTTGGTTTGTTAAATATGCATATATATATAAAAGATAATTCTAAATTACTGAAATAAACTTTTGAATTGAATACGTATCATACATTCAATAGAGCTATTGGTGTCTATGGCGATTTCTTTAGTGCTGATGGTATTGTACTTTATTACATTTATGTACTATTCCATCAGAGAGAATGAAAGAAAAGGAAAATAAGATGGAGGTAAAGTATTACATGATGTATAAAATAAGTACAAAATAATAGAGGACAATACGTCAAACGAGAAGGAATCATAAGAACAGGACAAATATCATTACAATACTATTATTTATTCTTCATTAACCCATTTTATTTCTAAATAACAGAAATCTTTAATTTTCAATTCTCATTTGTTTTGTTTCTATTAATCATAATCATCTATATTAGATTAAGAATTTAGACAACTGAAATAGTATTATATCAACAGAATCTTCTTAAATACTTTTTTCATTATAATTCTTGTTTCAAAAAAAGGTTGTCACCGAAAATGACCAAATATATTCATTAATATGAAAACAAACTCGTTGAAGTGCGCATATTCATTTATTATGTGTGATAATTTTTACCTGTATAGCTATACAATTGGATTAGTCCGATATTGTTCTTTTAATACCCACGTGTATCTATTTTATTTTTTCATTGGCTATGTTCACTTTATTTTTGCATGCATGTGACCGTATAGACAAATGCATAACTACATTAATCGACACACATACTCATCGAAGCATAGATGAGGACATGAATAACTGCAGCCAGTTATTTTATTCAATGTGAATATCATCGAACTTCAAATACAAGAAAACTGAACTTTGCTATTATTTACCAACAGTAGGTATTTTAGTTACCCTTCATATCCTGATCCAATATATTTAATAACGACAAAAGATATATCGAAATGGTACTATCTGAGTTAGAAATATTTTAAAAAAGTACATGGATGAGCTTCTATTATCTATTTAATTAAGCCACGTTCTTACATCGAAGACTACAAATGATATCAATTTATTACCACATTTTAAATACATATCTAATAAATAAAATTTCAACTTCATATCGTCAAATTTGAATACAGTTATTCAAATCATCCAAAGACAAAATGTTTATAACACAGGATGAAGCATTCAATTTTTTCTCTACATGTAAGTTATCTAAATTTTGTACATATATGAGAAATTATTTTTCGTGTTTTAGAGTCATCCAAAATAAAATCAATCAATCAATAGACTTTACAATCAAGCAGTATCACTAGTAAGAAAATTTCAATTAATAATATTATAATTATAAATACATTGAATTTATTTAGTTATTGTTATCGATAGAATATTATATAAAATGGCTTGCTGCATTATTATTTTCGAAAAATTTCAGAGCATACATATTGTTCAAAAGATGAATCTGTCTGAACAACGAACTATAGTTAATCATTTATTATAACTAGCAAACTTTTAATGCTATACATACTGCGTATTCTTCAATGTACTCAAAGCATTCATTAATTTTCAGCAAATATCCTTATACGTTGAATAGTAAACTTCTTATGATGTGATTCATCCACAAATGTTGCATTGGATATCAGATCAATTCGACAAATATTATTTGATTTGAATAATAAAATATTATTTTTATCTTAAAGGGCTTATAACTAATGATCTTAGGTTTCCATTTTTTCTGTATCCTATCAAGTTTATCATTCATTATTTATTCAAAATAAATTTTTATTCTATACTTGTTCATTCATCCGTTTTATCGCTAACAAGAGCCTTGCGACCCATCTATTTATTATATGTGATTCGATTGGATGACATGAGTATTATATGCACACATCTATATTCTTTTTTTTGTATCTTAAAATAATCAAATACAATAATATATCATTTACCTTTTTCTCCAGCGAGAAACACACTACACATGTACAATTAGTCATCCAATGCTTATAATCGTCTCTTCGTCAATTAACGCACACCAACATTTTCAAGTAATTATATATTTGTGATTGTTCAAACAACGAATTGTAATATATTTGATATAATAGCATTATGATGGCTATTCGATATGTCGATACAATCCATAATCTCGTAGGCTCATTTAATTTTTAAAATAAATGAAGAAAAAGTAGGTCTATTGAATGAATGATTTTTTTCTAAAAATATAAAACTCGAGACTAAACTTTGTTGTATTTTTCTTACTATTACAAATATTTATGAATGTAATAAACAACAAAGCTATACACTGAGTATTTTTTTTTATTCATCTGTATTTAGCTAACAGAACCTATCAGTTTGTGGTGATAATAATCATACTTTCTTCTACTCATGAATAATCCATCGATTTTTCATTTGCAACGTCAAATCATGAAAACGAGAGGATACTATTAGTAGTACACAACTCACAAAAACTTAAGACAGAAGTAATATGAAGTTTCGATTACAAAGATGGTTCCTTATTATTACTTTTTATATACAACATACGTTAGAATTGTTAAAATAATTATTTTCAATCTTCCGTGACAATCTCTTTAATGTATCTCCGAACAACGTTTGTATCCGTTCAATGTGCATCAAGGTAAGAAATTATTGACATTATTTTTATCAATTTTTTTAGATATTTTAACAGTCAGCTTTCTAGGTTGCCAAAAATGTAGAGACAAGATTCACAATCACGCTTTGGAAGTTTCTGTCAAGATATCGTATTTGTTCAGCAATAAAATCATATCTTTCCGAAAACATTGATATTCCATTGTGTTATGACAATCCTGATTATATTTTTCCTATTGGACATTTTATTTTACTTATAGACAATAATCATTCAATTTCAAGCGTCAAATAAATATTAAACATTTATTCATGACTTTTTTTCGCGAAAATATTTTTTACAATCATCGCCCATTTATTATTTCATAATGTTCTCCTCTGATTTTTTTAAGTTACTTATTTCATTGTATTTTTTATTGTTAACATCCATTAAATTGTGTTATATATATTTTTCTCTCTCAAATATCTCAACGGAAGATTCTTCGAAAGAAAAAGAAAACAAAGAAATAGATTTCTATATAAACCTTCTTGTGACTCATATATCGTTACTGATTACTCATCGCATGTATTAAGATTATGTTGTCATATGTTATATTTCACATGTATATAATAACGATTCACAAATGCAAGCTTAAGTGCGTTAAAATAATTGTAAAATAACATAGGATAAAATATTATTGCATAATAGCAATAAAATTATTTAACGTACGTATGTTTTAAAGAGCGAAAATGAATCGACTTTTTGAACATGTATCCGAACTGAATCAGTTGAATTATCGCCCATTTCGTGAGGATATGCATCGTTGACAATGATCAAGCGATCTTTGATCGATTATTTTATGTAATTAATTTAATCTCTATATAACTATTACATATAATGCGTCTATCATGATCGATCACTTCTACGCGGTGTAAGTTTTCAATTCATGTCTTCTTTTTCCTCATTGTTTTGTATTGCAAAGAACAGATGGACGCTTCTCCAACTGGCAACATCATTCGCTTTTTTCACTGATATCCTTACTCTTATAAACTATTTATTTTAATGTATCATCAGACTAGATAGCGAAAATGAATCGAAGTCGAATAGTTTTTTTTGTCTTTCTTTTAATCTAAAAAAGGTATAGATCAAGTATAATATATTATTATTATTTTTAGAACTATAATATAAGTAATATTCTTCGATAATGACTGATGTAACTTCTCGAGTACGTCTTTGCTTCATTCGTCATGCACAATCAGAAGCTAATCTTATATCTCATACAATATGTGGTCAAAATAATTCATGTTCATTAAGTCCATTAGGACATGAACAAGCCGTTCTATTAGGCAAACGATTGAAATATCAGAATGCTAAATTCGATTATTTTTTATGTTCAACTGCTATACGTGCAAAACAAACAGCAGATATTGTCTTAGAAATAATGAATATTGATCTATCAAAATTAATTACAACTAATGCACTTTTAGAACAATCACAAGGTAATTGGGAAGGACTGAATCGTCAATCATGTTATACAAAAGATATAAGAGAACAAATGGATAAATTACATATCGAATTTAGTGCACCAAATGGTGAATCATTACGAATGGTACAAAAACGTGCTATTGATTTTTTAGAACCATACATAGATCAAGCAAAAAAACAGAGTATAGAAGAAAATAGAGAAATATCAATTATAATATTTACACATGGAAATTTAATACGTGCTGTATTACAGTATTATTTACAGAGTAATACGAAATATACATGGCTTATTAAACAAGAAAATACTTCAATTAGCGAAATATTACTTGATCAATTTGGAACATCTTTAGTTAAAGTTAATGATAGTGGACATTTAATATTTTTAATACCAGAATCAATAGAGAAAAGTTGATACGAATCAAAGATTTTCTATATTAAAAACATAATATATATTTCTTCTAATTCTTGAATACAAATATACTAGCGATAGAAGTTCATGTATTCTATTAAAACAAAAAAGTCTCAATTTTCTTGTAATTAATATATTCTGATATTTATTTTGTATGAGAAAAATCACATTCCAATAGATCCTTCTGTATAAAATTGACATTACGTGCAGTTTTTATATTTACATTGTCAAGATAACATTCACTATTTGATTTTATTACAATTGGGTATGAACAGAATATTATGTCACTTGACAATAATTCAACAAAAATGACATATCATATAGAACTTCGTTATCTGAAACGGTATGACATGACCATGTGAAGCTTTTTTTGGTTTATATTATATTACGTACTAGATTTTTCCTCGTGTGATAACATTACCAATAGAGAACAAGTTGAAGTAATGAATAAACTGATAAACATAGTCGGTAAAAAATAATAATAGCTGCCGATCAGTAATACATTTTCGCTCGTCTTCTTCTTCCGCCTAATTTCATGCCGACGAAAATACAAAACAAAATTGGCTAGAGACGAGTTTGAAAATTGTAATATACTGAATTTTACTGAATGAAGTTCGATAGGTAGATCATAAAATCATGAAATATATTTTATGAACAGTCTGCTATACTATTTTTAATGATTGAAAAATATTGTCATTAAATTTCAATATTGAATTTATTTATTAATGACAGTTATCGCCATCTGATCACCTATTTCATTTACTGGATGGAAATATTTTGTAATAAAAACGTTTCTCTCCCCATCGGTTTTTGTATACAGGTGATATACAGTATGTATACAATCAAAAACCAGTCATGTGATACGCTTTTTCGATACAACTGTCCTTCAGAGAACTTGATGGTTGGTAATATGTACACTCGTAATGCTACCAGAGTAATCTATATTTACAAGTGATATGAAGCCTGTCAAATTGATAGAGCATTGAAGATTTTATACTATCGATTTCTTCCGACAGTTATTTTTCTTATGTTTATTTCTTTTTTTCTTTCTTTCTTCCTAAACTTCAATTTAAGCAAAATATTAAAAAATAATGTTCTCGTAAAATCGATGAGTATACGTCATTAACGTCCTTTCGTTTAGATGTTAGTTACACATTCAAGCAACCAATCAAATACCTGAAATATTCATACAGATTGGGTTTCAGACAACGATTCTTTTCATTTGTACAAAAATCAACAAATTAGTAAGTAACATTCAGGTAGTGACTCATTTTTCAAGTTTAAAAACCGAAAAAAAGTTTCACGTTATAGACATACTCGAAGAACTTTTAGTATGAAGTTTTTTTTCGATAACAGATACAAAATTATTGAAATTTCATATCATATCTGAGAGAGTAGGAAGCAAATATTTTTTCATCTTAGATATCGAACAGCGATTATTTTCGATTAGTTTGAGATCACTCACCAACAATTTTATTCGCGTTGATGAATTTATTTTTCTTCTTTCTTAAGAGAAATATTTACATAATAAATAATAGGTATAGATCTGTTAATCTTAAAGATCGATTAAGAATAAGACAGTTTAGAGAAAATATTGAATATATATGAACTTCATATCCAATGAATTCTCTAAATAAAATAAAAAAAATTTTTTTATTATAGTTATTTGAAGTACTCTAAAAACCTTGATATATTGTTGTCAGAACATGATGCAAATATTTGCTGAAATCTTGAAATAATGCATCGTGCCGAAGAGAAGAAGTGGTAGAAATATTTGTTAGCTGATTGATTTTTATTTAAATTAAATTTTTTTCTGCATATATATCGCAACTGTAATATTTTGTTTTCAAATGTAATAAAGAATTAATAAAGTAAAATCGACTAATAAGTTAAGATATGTCATCTATGATATAACTTAATTTTTAGTAATTAATTCATTATGTTTATTTGGACGCACGTAGTCACATTTTATATTTTATTTTTTCATCGAACACGTTTTATTAAAAACCGAAATACAATGTGAAAAGCAGTACAATTGACAAAGAACAGTTTATTTTAATTCCATACTTTTTATTTATAAAAAAAAAATCAAAATTCTGTATGATTTTGAAAAGAACGTACGCAATTAAAATAAACTGTTCTTTGTCAATTGTACAGCTTTTCACACTGCGTCGCGTGGCATATTTCGTTTTTTAAATAAAAGGTATTAGAAATGTGATGATTGATTATGGCCCACCTGTTAATTAAGTTTCACACAAAAAAAAGTTCTTATCAAAATTTTATTACCTCGGGTCACTATTTTTCTATAACTCTTTTATTTGTCGTTTTTATTTGAATACAATTTAGTGATCGAAATCATTATTGGTCTTGATATAATTAAAGTGTATAAAAGAGATTATTTTGTTTTAGAATTTAAAAAATAACTATGGCAAATGTCCAGCAATGTTGTTGTAACTTTGGTAAGGAGTTCAAAGAGTATGTATTTATAAAATATATGACAATACTATAATCTATGATTTTAATTGTATAGGTTTACTTTACGAGGTAATATACTCGAGATGGCTATTGGAATTATTATTGGTACACTATTTCAAAATGTTGTTAAATCACTTGTTGATGATATAATAACACCTCCATTTGGTTTAATTTTTGATGGAGTAGATTTTAGTAATTTAACAATTAAATTACCGAACTTCGTAAGGCAAGATCAGCCACCTGTTGTTATTCGATATGGATTATTTCTTCAACAAATACTTCATTTAGTAATAATGGCTTTAGCACTATTTTGTATTGTGAAATTTATTAGTAGACTACATCGAATTGCAGCTCAAAATAGAGAATTAGCTACCGAAAATGTTCCAATTCAATCAAGTGAACCAAGTGAAGAATTAAAAGTATTACGTGATATTCGAGATCTAATAGCGATAAATAAGAACATAACTAATTCAGCATCTGCTGGATCATCATCGAATCTGATTAATTTATAAGAATATTATTGCTTCATGAACGTATAGACTCATTTGAAAAAAACAAATATTACCACGAAGAGAGATCATTCATTTTAGTCACTTTTATAACTATGTTAAGCTACGAATTACAGATATATAAAGTACTTCATCTAATTTATTTTTCTTGAAAATCTTTTGTGAAATAATAAATAATAGTTT